ATTTATTTTGTTTTGTTTTTAGTTTTATTTTTTTGTGTGCTTTGTAAAATATTAAAGAAAGTGTACTTGTTTGTAATATTGAAGGAGATGTGTTCTGAGGACCGATGAAAATGATTGTTTTTTTATGAGAATGTCATTGTTTTTGTGTGAATGTTATTGTGTTCAATAAAAATAATAATAATAACACTTTAGCGGCAAAGGTTTATGTTTCTGCCACTCTACTGCCCTATGTGTAGTTTCTTTGAGTACAAAAGACAAAATTGTGTTTTTTTTTTATTAAAACTATTTTTTTTATAATGATGCGCTCTGATTAAAGTATTTTACAGGGTAAAAATATATGAAGTTTGAAGCGGAACAAAAACTCTTTGCGGAGTTTGTGTGGGACACATTTTCGCCGAACACTGCTTGCAGGGAGAAGCCGCGGATTTGGCTGTTCGTAGCTAGTAAGCTAGCATTAATGCACACATTTCTGTGTCTTTAGGAATGTCTTACCTTTAATACACAGAACGTTCACCTTTAGATCATTCAAAATGAACCTTGACAGACTTAGAAAACGAGTACGACAGTACATTGATCAGGTAAGAAAACTAATCATTTTCTTAGTTTCTTTGTGTGGCGCTAACTATGCTAAATCTACTATCTTCCCACTTTACTAGTGTAGCGAATGAACGGTTAAAAATACATAAACTTCACTTTATATAAACTTTGTGTTGGAAGTTATTTTACCTACCTTTTTATGTGTGTTCACAGCATCAGTATCAAAGTGGTCTGTTTTGGGCCGATAAGATAGCATCCCTTTCTCACGGTGAGTAAAATGTTTAAAATAAATTGGGTACAACACAACTTGTTCCGTCAGTCACTTGTCACAACATAAAGAAGCTACTAACCGGGCAACCTCCTTGCTTAGGGTTTTCCATTTTCTGATTTTATTTAGGCAACGTGTGGCAACACTTTGTGGCTTTTAATGTTCTTCTGCGTGTCTTTAATGCGTGTAACCAAGTTAACCTCACCGACTATTCAAAAGAGAAACTGACCGGCCATTCAGAGAAATTCACTTACTTAGATGTTTTAATTTTTTTAATGTTGCTAATCGCCCAAATAACTTTACACATTTCCTGTATTGCAACACTTCTCTCCTTCTCCCTTTGATTCAGAATAAAGCGACTATATTTTTAAGTCTAAACTGTAACATTTAGTCATTATTAAATCCCCATTTCAACATAGTAATTAGTTTGTTGTTTTTAAGAAAGATGTAAATGCACACCCAAATTTTTAGTCATTCATCTGGTGCAAGCAGCACAGCCACGTTTATGTG